ATTTGAACTGCTGACCTTGCAGTTCAAATCCATCTTGAGCTCCAGCGCAACATCCCACAGCATAAGCTGAATAATGGCCCCCAAAATATCCAAATCTTAATTCTAGAATTTGTGAATGGATAAAGAGACTTTGTGGCTTTTGTGATTAAGGATCTTTAGATATAGAGATTATCCTATATTATCTAGTGGTAGTGGTGTGCCAGGGTAGATTCGAACTGCTGACTTTGTGGTTAGCAACCCAATGCGTTGTAACCTACTATGTTACCAGGGCACATATTATCTAGGTGGGCCTTAAATGTAATCTTTCATGTGTCTATGAAGGGGAGGCAGAAGATTTGTCTACAGACAAGGCAATTAGGCTACACTTAAACAAAATGCTGCACTACAAACTTTAAAGACTGAGATGTTGGTAAGTGCCGACGAGTCGGTTCCAACCCATAGAGACTCTGAACAGGGTTTCTGAGGCTGTAAATCTTTACGGGAGCAGAAAGCCTCATCTTTCTCCCGCAGAGAAAGAGGCCAGAAATCCAAGAATGCAAGGAATGCAGCTCCAAAATCCCTTCTGGCAAGCAAGTTTTTCTGACTCATAGTTGATTCTGACTATAGGACAGAACAGAACTGACCCAGAGGGTTTCCAAGGCTATAAATCTTTACTGAACCAACTGCCTCATGTTTCTCCTGTGGAGCAACCAAGGTTCAAACTGAGGATCTTTTGTTTAACCAACCACTTAACCATTGCAACACCAGGGCTGCCCAAACCTCAATCTCAGACTTCTGACTTCCAGAATGGAAAGACAATGTGTGCTGTTTTAAGCCACCAAGTTGGTTATAGCAGCCATCAGAAACTAATGCACATGAAATACAAGGACTGTTCTTATCTAGGTTGACCTGCACTCAGACCTATCTGAGTAATGGGAGATTTATGACTGGTGCTCTTGCTAAGAAAACGATTTTATACATAATACAGTAGGTTCAGGAGTCCTGGTGTGGTGTCATAAGATAAACACTCAACCTCAAAGTCGGCGGTTCAAACTCACCAGCTGCTCCTTGGAAACCCTATAGAAGGTTGCTGTGAGTCAGAATCACTATGACTTGGTGGTGCTTAACAACAACAATAGTAGATTCATCATTTATTCAGTGTCTTGTCCTCAGCACTGTATATTTAAGAATACATTCTCATTGATTCTTGAGGCATGATCAGATTAAGTATGGTGCTATAGGATAAGCACTGGATTACTAATCTCAAGGTCAGTGGTTCAAACCCACCAGTGTTTCCTCAGAAATTTTACTGGGTTGCTATGAGTCAGAACCGATTCGATGGCACTTAACAACAACATATATGAACCTAGTTCACAAAAAAGTAACATAAATAAGACCACAACATGCTGGTTTGTGCAGTAAAAATATAAATACTAGGTGTCTAGGCTTATTCAGATCATTAAGTGAATGTTGATTGGTATTGCTTGGGGAACACAAAGGGAGAAGGAAGGCAACTGGCTCATCTTGATTTAAAGTTATCAGACTCTCACAGCCAGGTGCATTAATCTCCTTCATTGGATTATAACTTTTACATCAACCAGGCAGGTTCCTTCTCTACTGGCTGTCCAGGGACATACCCACAAATCCTAACTTAAGTGCCATCGAGTTGGTTCCGACTCATAGCAATACTGTAAATATAAGGTTTCCGATGAGCAGCTGATGGGTTTGAACTGTCCACCTTGCAGTCAAACTGACCTTGCAGTCCAGTACATTATCCTGCAGCACCACTCTTCCTTTATGGTTCTCAAAAGTTACAATCAAATTATTTTGACAATGTTCCTTCATATGTGCTACTCTGATTACATGTCATTTGCATGATCTCCTTAGAGATTTGGTTTGTAATCCCATCATAAACACATTTAGAAGTTACCTATTCCTTCTTTTCTTCTAAAGTGCTAGATATGTGACATGAAAATAGGCAAAATAAAGGCCCTATTCTCCAGGAAACTTTGTCATTTTAGTCAATTAAAAGCTGCTGTGTAACCAGCTTGGAGCAGCTAGAGGAACAGAAAATACTTCTTGAAAGAAAGACCAGCAGAGAAAACCAAACACAACAGCAAGTTGTTCATTGGGGAGCCATCAAGGCAAGCAATCAAGTCACTTCAGGACAAACCCCCTTCCCAAGACTGAAACTCAAAGAGAACTCACAAGCAGGCATGTAAGCTTGCTGGTAACCATACTGGTCTACTGGCGAGTGGAAGTGGTGGGCTGAGTCTGACCAAGTTACATAGACCCCATCGACCTGGAGTATGGTGAGAACTGGTTGGCCCACAGTATGGTGAGACCTGGGGTCTCCTGAGCCCATGGATAATGACATGGCCACGGAGGGCTGGAGCTGAGAGTGAAGCATTCAGCTGATATTCAGTGAGAAATATGCAGAAGGGCACTCAAACTTGCAGATTGTGCCCATTGGACCTAGCTTCAATGGCTGGATGTTCAGAACCCAACCTAGAGGAAGGAAAAGAGGGGGAAATTTTTTTTTTTTTTTCTTGAAAGAAAACAAGTATAAATCACTATAATCTGATGAACTTGACCTTTATTTATGGATGTAGTAGCTTAAAATGCCAACCAAGAGGGAAAGAATCTTTATAGCAACGATCATTCCTATCCTCTCTGTACACAGGGTTGATAGGGATGGGCAACTTAAGACATTGGCTACCTAAAATGGGGGGAGGGGGGTCTGTAAAGGCACGAAATGACTGATTCACAAGTTTTCAAGAGTATGCAGGGAAGGTAGAATCCCCACTGAGTGGTTTTCATCCTGTCTAAACAGGTCTGATGAAAGGAGATGGGAACAAGACTCTCACGATTCAATAGTGAATAATTGTTATCATGATTAATTGCAATTGTCACAACTGTAAAGGTAGAAGTTCTGTAGCAAAAAGAGGTGAGTGGTCTATTTTTACAGTCCTGGAGTGGAAGACCCCAGGACCATCAAGGGAGAATTGCGGAAGCAGAGTGTGGGTCTATACCCATAGAAGTGGTGACGCCAGGGATGGATGCAGAGATGGTGACGTGAAGAGTCAGAGCAGTTGAGGACTCTAGACTCATGGAGGGAGAGGGATGTGTGCTGGCAGCCGGGGGTGCAGGTGTGCAGGGTGTGCCTTTTGGCTGTTTGATTGTATACCCCTGAGTGTTTTGGTGCACATAAAAAAAAAAAATACAGAGGGAATAGAAGCACGTACTGTTGAATGATGAAGCATGCAGGGGATTGTAATCATTGCAATGAAATGAATACGATAGGATGAGTGTAAAACTGATGTTCCCCCTGTAAATTATCACTCAACTCACAATAATAAAATAAAGCTGCTGTGTATTTCTTTTGTAGATAGCTGATCTTGCCCATTTTTTATTTCATGAACTTCATTTTGGGAGGAAAACATTTTCTTATCCTCATTGTCAAATGTAGGGATGGTCCTATGAGGAACTATAAATCAATCAGAGGTCAATTCAATGAAAAACCTTATTAGTCCAATACTTTTAGTCCCATTCTATTTTCTCTAATTATTAACATTCCTCTGGTCCACCCAAGTGTGACAGAGGACTTGACATTCAAACAGTCTGTGATATCAACATTCTACAAAACTGAGGCTAGATGACTTTAGCATGGGTCAGAAATGACTTACGCACTAGGTGTTTCCTTTCCACTAAGCCTTGTATTCTTTAACAGTGATTTACATTGTCACTGAACACAGTTAATTTAAATCTTCAGGTTTGAAATTTAAGACTCTTTGTGTGGCGCTGTGGGTTAATGTGTTAGACTTCAAAGCCGTTTGAACTGCAAGGTTGGCGGTTCAAGCTCACCAGCTGCTCCTTGGAAACCCTATACAGGGTCACTATGAGTTGGAACTGACTCAACGGCACTTAACAACAACAAGAATCATCAACAAGAATCATTAAGTCACAAGCATGCCATTACTCTAGTTTATCTACACACTTCATTGCACAGCTAATCAATGGTTTGCAGTTATGGCGCTAAACAGGTTATATTCCATGCCCAAGTTTAAAGACTAATTTTATACTTGCCTTCTTAGTTAGATATTACTGATACAAATCAGCCTGGTGGTTTTAAAGTTACTATGAAATGAAAAATCAGTACAAAACTGGTATAAACTAGTGGACAAGGTTGTTACTTTCTGGATAACCTAAACAAGTCATTCATTTCTCTTAGTCTGTTAACATATTTGTAAATGGTGGTTACAGTTTATGATCACATTAGTCTTTTTCTTGCTAAGTGTCATAGACCCTGTATAGAGTTTCCAAGGAGCAGCTGGTGTGTTTGAACCGCCTAACCTTATGGTGCCAGCTCTCAAATTCAAGGACTAGGAAAGATCACAAAAAAAGCTAAATTTCTTTTGCTTATTTTGTAGGGAGTCAGAGATCCATGTTACAGAAACCCTCTGAAGAACTATTTCCGACAAATTTGATTTTGAATCGTTTATCAAGTAGATGGCATATCTATTCAGCAGTTATTATCCTGCCTCTTAATTCATTAAATACAGACACACACAAAGCCTACTGCTGTTTTTGTGGAACAGTTTATTTCAATTTTAGTTTTAACAAAAAAGATAAAAAGGAGATTGGGGAATGGGGAAGAAGGTTCTGCTCTTCCTTGCATTTACTTTCAATCGCAATAAGCAGGACAACAGAGTTTAGGAGGTAGGTCTGTTTGTTCCATATGCCAATGGAAAAGGATAGTCAGGTCACCTGCCCAGTCCCCTCCATGAACAGGGAAAGGTCCATCCAGGTCAGTCTACTGAGTGTTGACTCTGGATGCCTGTTTCTTTGAAGTTCTGGATCGCCGCGATCGCCAGTGAACAGGAGCACCACGTCTCCAGGTAGTGTAAGGGTTGTAAGGGGGATTCCGGGGGAAACCCCTATGAACCAGGGGGGCAGGGGTCTGAAAACAGGGGGTAGGGGCAGATGGCATATATGACTGGGGGCTAAACATAAAGTTTCCTTCCATGGCAAATTCTGTGTGGGCAGGTAAGGGGTCATCCAAGTGGAAATAGTCGGACGTATGACCCGACTGGGGAGGCTGGCCTGAGAAACTATAGGAATCTTGAGTAGGGGGCAGGAAATGGGGCATGTCTTGAGAAAGTGGCATGGGATGAGGTTGTGGGATGGGGAATGCTAGGGACGTCTGTGCTAGCGGTGGGGTTGGCGGCGGAAAACGGAGCTGGGGTTGGCAGGAAAGAGGAGACATGAGTGGGGGAGGGGTGGGGAGCGGAAGCAACGCATGTTGATCTCTGCTAGCCTGAGGCTGCCTCTCAACCCCCAGGCCACCTCGACCCCTCACCGGTCTACCTCTGAGCCACTCGTTCACGGGGTCCGGGCGGTCGGGCAGGTCCACCCCCCAGGCGTCGGCCACATGGGCGAGCAGCAGCTGGGAGAGGTGTCGGTGAACACGTTCGTTCCAGTGCACACCATCTCGCTGCCGGTGCTTCCTGGAATGGCGGAAGTGGAAATGCAAATCTAGTACATCGAAGCCGTGTTTCTGCGCCTCAGCGTAGCTGTGGAAGTTGGCTTCAACCACGTCTTTATGTAAGGAGGTGGTGCAGAGCTCCGGCAGGGCAAAGCCCCCGGTGATTTTCTCACCCACGGGCATGGCAGTGTTCCATAACAGGAGGCACTCCTTGGGTAGCATCTGGTCCAGGCGCCGGAATAGGCTCGCCAGGTTCTCCAGGTAGCTCTTCCAGGAGTCCTGGCCGTACCTGGAGAGGTCCCAGAGGCAGGAGTTCATGATGAACACATCTGGGGCATACTCGCCGGAATGCAACTCTTCCAAGATGGCCTCGAGGTAGTCCGAGTACACTCGAGTGACGAAGTAGAAGCGCACCAGGTGGTGGCCAGAGCAGAACTGGCGGACCTCTCGGTACTGGATTCCATTGTTCATGGTGGCCTTCTGGCCCCCCGCCAGCAGCTCGTCCTGTTCGAAGCTCAGCTCCCCCTTGGTCTTCAGCTGATCAGTGGTGAGCAGGCGGTCTTTCTGCAGCAGAAGTACTAGGTCCTTGTATACAGCCCTCTGGATAGAGTCTCCCAGGACGACCACGAACTTGTTGTGGAGCAGCTGCCGGGCTTCGGAGGCGGACAGGTAGACCATGGTGCAGAGGATAGGTGGCCTAGATCTCCCCTTCGCACCTGGAAGGGCTGCGGGTTGCTAGGACAGAAGGAGAGAGCTAATGGGAGGAGCCCACCCCTGCGCACTGAAGAAAAGAGCACACGGAAGGGGGTGGAGCTTCTGCCTTGGTATTTAAAGGACATGGCCTAAGGTGTCTTTCCACCAGGCCTGGGAAGTGGGGAGAGAGGGCCGGAAGGAAGGGAGGCACAAGCACTGGTTAGGTAAAGTCCCAGCTTAGGCCTGGGATTTGACGTCTGAATCGCCAGCTAGCAACCACTGGAGACTCAGGCCTCAGCTGGAGGGGAAGGGAAGGAGGGGGAAAGTAGACAGAGGCCAGGCCAGGATTTCCCTCCCCCGCCTGCCTGTTGAGAGCTAGGAGGCAACCCAGGTATCTAACAACCCCCAAAGGGGAGGCAAACTGTGAGTGAGCAAGAACCTGGAGTATGTAATGTAATGTAATGTAATGTTAAACTGAAGAGGTTACATACCACATTGGAGCCTCATACCACGGAAACTCTATAGATACGCAGAGACTATTGAAAGGAAATATGCAAAAACAATACTTATTAATAGAGGGCTTCTCTACTTCTTTGTGTTTGTATTTTTTTCTTTAAATTGTATTTATTTTGTTGAGAATACACCCAGCAAAAACGTACACCAATTCAACAACTTCCCCATGAACAAGTCAGTGACTTGGTTATTATTCTACCAGTTGGACAGCCATTGTCCCCCTCCCCTCCTCTGACTTGTTCCTCCCTCATTATCTCTGCCTTTTTTTTTTTTTTTAATAAACAGACTTTAGACAGTCCTTGATTGTTTTTCATAGCTTAAAATAATTCAGTGAAATGCAACAGGTAACAAAAAGGAAAAGTACGTGTGCTTTTCAAAAACAGAATTTTTTAACAAAGAAGCAGCTGTTTCTTACCAGTAGGACTGGAGAAGGTCTATCAAGATAAAACTAGAAATAATTCAGATGCGTTTCAACTGGAGTATTCTTGGCTTTCCACTGAGTGAAATGTTAAGAGCTGTGCAACTCATCTTCAAAACTTCAGATTAAGTTTATTTCAAGCTGACATTTACAACTCAAATCCACTAATGAATAAAAGGTAGAAACACACTTCACTACTAACAACTCTCAACTGGGGAGAACTTGGCATCCACTTCATACATTAAAAGGAAACTGTTAAAATCCGATATGGGTTGATATTTGTAAGCTTTTTTTTTGCATTTTAATAGATATGGGTGGGTTTTGTTGTTGTTAAGTGCAGTGGAGTCTGTTCTGACTCATAGCGATGCTGTACAGGGTTTCTGAGGCTGTAAATCTTTACAGGAGCAGAAAGCCTCATCTTTCTCCTGTGGATTCCAACTACTGACTTTGTCTTTCTCCTGTGGATTCCAACTACTGACTTTGTAATTAGTAAACCAACACATAAACCCCCAGAGTTCTTTTTAAATGAGTACAAGTACAAAAATAAAAACATAAAGATGGATAGCATATCAAAGAGTTACCTTAATAGTTTAAAATGCTACATTCCTGTGTGTTTTTGTGTACATCAAAACAAAACAAAAAAACATAAAGGAAGGAATAGAGGCAAATATTGTTAACCAATGGTACGTGGAGGGGATTGTAACCATTGCAATGAAACAAAATATGATTGGTTGAATATAAAACTTATGTTATACTGTGTAAACTAGCACTCAAATCATAATAAAAGCTTTCTTTAAAAAAAAAATTTTTTTTAAATAAAAAGTTACCATAAAAGAACAGTGTGAAATACTGATGACTTCTTCCTCCAAAAGGACTCCTGGTGGAACTGTAGGATAAGCACTGGACTGCTACAAGGTCAGTGGTTCCAACATACTAGTGGCTTCATGGGAAAAAGACGCATCTGTGTGCTCTTGTAAAGATGTCCAGTCTGAGAAACTCTTATGTCCTTAGAGTTGTTTTGAATCGGAATTCATTTAATGGCAGTGGGTTTGGTTTTCTTGTTTTTTCCCCTAAAAGATCTTCATTAAAATTTTCTATGAGGAAATGTAGTCTGAAAATAGGATTTAACTCATTGTGGAGCCACAAAATAAATGATTAACTCATATTCCAAATCCTGTTGGAACCAATGAGTGCTCATTTGTTCAGAGTCATTGACTCAGCCAACTCACATTTATTATGTGCTCCACCGGAATCACCTCAACACAATGGGTTTATGCATTCCACCTGGGGACAGGTGGGTATAACAACATCACATGGCCCTTGCCTTCCAAGGAGCTGAAAATCAGAAAGCCCATCCCACTGTCCCGGAGCTGATTCCAACCCATAGTGACCCCAGAGGGCAGAGTAGAACTACCCCATAGAGTTTCTGAGGTTATAAATCTTTACATCAGCAGACAGTCACGTTCTTCTTCCACAGAGAAACTAGTGGGTTTGAATCTCTGATCTTGCAGTTAGCAGCCCACAACTTAACCCATTGTACCACCAGAGCTCATTTGAAGATCCAGAATACTCATTAATAACTTTGTGTGGTACATAGGATCAGCACTGCCAAACCACAAGTTTGGCAGTTAGAGTCCACCAGCCACTCCTCAGAAACCTATACAGGGTTGCTGTGCGTTGAAACTGACTCAACAGCACTTAATAACAACAACAATAACACAAAGTAGAAAGCGCTAAGTGCCATGAAAATAGAAAAGTTGCTGAGAGAGTTCAGGGGACTTTGTGAATATCATTCTTATTCATTTCCAGCCCTCAAGTCTCCAAAGTGCAAAATGTCAAGTGGGAAAATCCTTTCCCAGCAAGGTTCCAGAGCTCTCCTGCATTCCACCAGGGCTCTAACGCCACACTCTGGTCTTATTCTGTGCCTTGCCACCTGGGTCTATCTCTGTTTCAGTGGCACTTTCTTTATCTTGAGCAAGTTTTGTAGGCTTTCTGTGCCTTACTTTTTCTCATCGTAAAGTGAGACTATGACTACCCACCCATTCCATAGATTTGAAGAAACCTTGGTGGTGCAGTGGGGTAAGCTATGGGCTGCTAACTGAAAGGTGGGTGGTTTGAACTCACCAGCCACTCTGCAGGAGAAAGATGTGGCAGTCTGCTTCCATGAAGATTTATAGCTTCGGAAACCCTGTGGGGGCATTCTGCTCTGTTCTCGAGCGTCACTATGAGTTGGAATGGACAGCAGTGGGTGTGTTTGTTCTGCTTTGGTTGTGTTCTGAGCATACCTAAATGCTGCGCCAATGACTTAGGGTCAAAAATCAAGCTAACGGCTACAATGTCCACCTTAGGCTTTCTTAATTGTTCTTCTCCAGTAGAACGTGCAACTCTAACTGTGAGAAGCCAGGGAAGGGGAAATGACTGGAAAGAAGCATTCCAATTAGGAGCTGAAACGGAAAGGAAATTAATGAAATTCTTGATAAAAGAACACAGCAACTGTAACAGGATTCACAAAATCTGACACTTGGTTCAACTAAGATGCTAAGCATTGACAACAAAACAACAGAAACTGTTTTTTTAGGGGAAGTGAGTGGTAAAGAATAATCTGGAGAATTTTTTCTGGTTTGAAGAAAACAATAAGTAGCTCCCATTTTCAGAGCTGTTCGTATACAAGCTTGTAAATATGAAACAAAAGAATGGATATGGAAACTGCCAGTTCACTGGTCTTTTTAGCTTAGGTTTTAGATTTGCAGAACTCCCTTATTAGTCTTGTCGGTTCTGATGGATTCATAGTAATCCTGTACAGGCTTTCCAAGGAGTGGCTGGTGAGTTTGAACCATCAACCTTGCGGTTATCAATCCAGTGCTTATCCTACAGCGCCATTAGTCTTAGTAGCTGTTTTATAGATTCTTATATTTTGTAAGAATCATTGAGAGTCAGATACTGTGCTAACCATATGCTATGCAATGGATAACAGTTATACCGATAGTCTCTTCCCTCAAGAGGGGAGAGCTAAAACAGCGCACAGACACAAAACAAAACAAAAAACAAAACCATGCTGTTAGGTCAATTGTGATTCATAACAACATTGTGGGGCTTTTCCAGGCTGTAAATCTTTATAGGAGCAGAAAGCTTCATCATTATTTCCTTGGAAGGGTTGTTGTTGTTAAGTGCTGTTGAGACTGTTTCAACTCATAGAGACTCTGTATAAGTTTTCCCAGGAGCAACCGTGGAGCGGATGGTGACCTTGTGGTTAGCAGCCCAATACTTAACTAACTATACCACCAGGGCTGACACAGGAAGAAGGCAAATGTCAAACGAGGAGCTGGCTGCTAAGGCTCAGCTCTGGACTTCAAGGTCAGCAGTTCAAACTCACCAGCTGCTCTTCGGAAACCCTGTACAAGATCTCTATGAGTCAAAACCAACTGAAGGGCATTTAACAGCAACATAAATGAAGTACATAAAACTGTCTCAGTAGTCAAGCTAGGGAATCATTTCATTTCAATCTGTGATTCCAACCTCAACTAGCGGTATTTTTTTTTTTTTTTTAAGTTTCATGATGATTCCCCAAATCGTAATCGTAATGATTACTACCATGTTTTTCTATTTGAAAAGCAAAATTTGGACTTTGGCCAAAGCTCTGACACAGAATGCATTAATAACAGTGACTGCTATACAAAATTACCTTCAAGCATCTTACACAGTATTGCCTTGTTTGGGGGTAATTAAATTTTTAATAGCTTCACAGACCATGTGTTATAAATCATTGGCTTGCTATTTATAACTATCATAAACCACACACATAATAATTTGTTTTTCATTAATCAATGTTTCATATAAATTTATTTATTTACTTTTTTACTTATTGGTTCTTACATACAGAGTGACACTCTAATAGATCTGTTGTTTCTGAGACCCTACAGAGAAGTCAATAAGTTAGGCCATCCCAAACAATTAGGGTGGTGGTTGGATTCATTCTACCAGTAAGTTGAACCAGTTTAGAGGCTTGTTGCATATCACAGACTATCTTAATGCAACATTATATTAGGAATCTAAA